TATTTGTAAAAGCCATATCTTGGAAGCACCTCAAAGTCCCTCAACTGATGAATGGATAAACAAAATGTGGTATATTTATACAATGATGACTACTCATCAGTAAGAAACAATAACATCCTAAAATTGAACAGAACAGAACAGGCAAATGAACAGAAATAGAAAAACCCATCCTGAGTGAGGTAACCCAAAATCATAAAGACTAATACAGCATGTGCTCACTCATAAGTGGATACCAGACATAAAGCTAGAGATACCCGGCCTACAATCCACAACCCCAGAGAAGCTAGAACTCTCTTCCAGAAACAGACGGAAGCAGATGTAGAAAGCTTCATCTAACCAATGGGCCAAACTCCTGGAGTACAATCCAAGTGAGGGAGTATTGATAATATGAACAAAGGAGTCAAGACCATGATAGCAAAACCCATAGAACTAGCTGACCCGAGCTACTGAGAGATCACTGATTTGGGTTTGACATATAGGCAACCTGCATAGACCGAACTAAACCCCCTTAATATAGGTGACAGTGGTCTGACTTGGACAATAAATGAGACCACTGGCAGTGGCTCTAAGACCTAACACTAATGTACAAACTGACTTAGTGGGGCCTACTCTATATGGAGAGACACCTTGCCCAGCCTAGACACAGGGGTGTGGGGGTGGAGAGGTGCCTTGTTACTGCCTCAAAAAGACAATGGGACAGACTTAGACTTCCTAGGAAAGGCCTTACCCTCTCCAAGGGGCAGATCAGAGGTAGTTGGGAGTGGGGGCAAGCAGGAGGAGGGGAGGGAGGGGAAACGGGGTTGGAATGTAAAAAATAAATTAATAATAAAGAAAAAGTACATCAACAAAGAGTTGAGTCTAATACTATTAACTGTCATTTCGCGCTCTCTCTCTCTCTCTCTCTCTCTCTCTCTCTCTCTCTCTCATGTGTGCATGTGTTTAAGGCTAGTATAGCTATTATTCTAAGGTCAGCGGCAGCACAGCAGCACTGTGGCTCAAAGCATCACGGTATCTGGTACAGACTAACCCTTGTATGCACCTTGACTCCTCCCTTGTACCCTGTTCTGCATTAGCAAAGGGAAAGAAGATACTGCTGATGAAGCCTACACGAAATAATAAAGCTAGAAGAAAATGTCTTTCACTGTTGCCACTCCCAAGCACAATATAACCATTCATTCTAATCCTGTACACTACCACTCCTTTAAAAGAGTCTCATGGGTGACAAGGTGTAGAATAAAAATTACTAAAAGAAAATATGAAAAAAAAAGTGGACCTACAAGCCGTTCTTTGTGCAACATAAGAGTGAGTTGGCTTAAATGCCACATAAATGTGACAGGAAGCAAATGAAGAAGGGAGGATAGACAAATAAAGGCAGGGAAGAGGTGGGCAAATGAAGGAAAGGAGGAGGGAGGCTGGAAAAATGTAAACATTGTGGATAAATAATTATTGCATTTAAGACTTGATCTTATAGTATTTCCATCCTGACCATGTTCTGGAAAATTTTAAAGATACAAAATTTTACTCCTTCCAGTGATAGCATAAAAGTACTTAACAAAAATGATGTTTGTAACTTAGCTACGTCTTAATAGTAAATCTTTGTCTTTCTACTAAAATTCAATAGCTAATGAATTATTTCACTCTTAATAATAAGGTTACTCTCTTTTCTTCAGAATATTTTGTGCACTTATCAATACTACATGGTGACATATTTGAAAACATCAAGAACTAATGATCAATGACATTTTAGAATTTAAAAACAATGGCTTTCCTTACAAATCAATTTAAGTAAATTCTGCTGTGCTCAAATATCTCTGTAATATTATATTTTTATCTTCTAATATAACCATTCTTTTAAAAGCATGATTTGTAAATTTTCCTTTTTTGAAATCTTAAGAAAATTGCTACTCATGCATTTTTATGACTATTCATTGTGATAGTAGGAATCTGATCATAGATTCCCTTTTCTCAAACATTTATAGGTTTTTTTTTTCCTTCACTGACATTTCATGAATATTTTTCCAAGAAAATTCAAACCAGAAAGACAAAGGAACATTAGTGAAAACCTAATACGACTTGACCTTGTCACATTAGCCCTGGGCATTAAAAGATATAAATTTCAAAGACTATAAAAAAAGCAAAGATTTGTACATTGAGCACTCAATGGGTAAGTTTCTACTCTGCTCCCACTTAGGGTCTTGGTGGAAGGAGAACAGTTTATACAGCCAGAGAGTCTTCCAGTTAGAACTCATCCGAGTCAAACTTAAACCAGTCACATGTCCTAATGAAAATTTAAAACAGAAGACTGGATGAAACAAGTATTCCAAACAATAGTCACTAAATACTGTTCTCTATATGTATTCCATTTGCTTGAAAATAAAGTATGTGAATTATAATATCTTCCTTGTGAGGGTAATAGTTACCAAAACTCAAAGAAAATATATACCATGTAAAAGTATCCTAATTATACACCCCATTAATGTTGGTATGAGTGCATTTTAAAGTCTGCATTTTAAATTCATAGATTTCTGAAGTGGGACTCACAAATCCCTGTGTGAATGACAGCTACAATTTGGTTTCAGCAGATAGGCAGCAGAAAGCCCTTTGACACTTGGGAAGAAGTTAAGTCTCAGGCAATGACAAGACCTGCTTAATGCCAACCTACTAGGATGTCACAGATTCAAACCACAAACCTAAACTGGCCAACTGGCCTATCTGAGTTTTATCATCTGTTATGCAGCTCTGCACACACTTCATGGACAGAACACTGTGACACAGATCATAGCTAAAGAAATAGATCTTCTGAGTAAAACAAATAAAGAAACAAACTAAGCCTTGAGTTTATATATTATGCTACTAGGAAATAATTTCCTTGGTGTGCCTTCGATCTCCTGCTTTACTAACAGCATGTGCCAACATTTACAAAGGATTTCATAGTGCAAAAATATATTTAGGTAGGCAATAATATTATAAAAGTTCAACATTGTGTATGTAATAAAAATATACATAATATATAATTGCTGTATATTCATTGTAAATAGTACTGTTTTATAAGAATATTTTCATAACAATATACAGTGGATATTGACTGTATTCCTCACATACTTGGACATTTGCATACCTCCCTCCTCTTGTCATCCCTAAACAGTTTTTTCTCTACTCCTATGCTATACATACATCATAGTGATTTTCATAAAATCTAGGAGCCATGCAGTTAATAAAAGTTGCAACATATGCCATTCAATGTTATAGCTCTCAAAGTAACAACTGTGGCCCTAAGTAATCTTGTTTACTTAGATGTAACAAAATAATGATCACCATGAGTAATTATTCCAATGGTCATTATCAATTCTCAGAACCAACTGGTCTAGGTGAATAATTTATTTTCAACACTTTGATACGTGACTATTAATTAAAATTGTCACCTGTGATGGTATTAACTTTGAAAGAAAAGGATATTTCATTGTAGGCTTAAAGTAGTTAAAGAACTAAGAACATTTTTTCTTTTATGGTTTTCTTTTTTGCATTAATTTTTTATTTAAATTAGAAATAAGCTTATTTTACATGTCAATCCCAGTTCCTTCTTTTCCCCCTCCTCCCCTGCTCCCCACCCACACCTTATCCTATTCCCTTTCTGCTCCCCAGGGAGGGTGAGCCCTTCCATGGGGGAATCTTCAAAGTCTGTCATATCATTTGGAGCAGGGCCTAGGTCCTCCACCATGTGTCTAGGCTGAAAGAATATCCCTCTATGTGCAGTGGGCTCCCAAAGTCTATTTGTGTACTAGGGATAAATACTGATCCACTACCAGAGGGCCCCCCCGATAGATTGTCCAGACCTCCAAATTGACATCCACCACATTCAGGGGGTCTAGATCAGTCTTTTAAGGTTTTCATAATTTAAATGTTTTCTAGTATTAGAAATGTCGTTTGAGAACTACTGTCAAATATGTGTGTGTGCCCATTCATGCATGGTTTACTACATTTGTCCAAGACATAACCGATCACTTCAGGTTGAGATCATATTTGTTACAAAATGATCCTATGGAGTCATGTAAGTCCAAAGTACATATGTTGTTTCACTAGAAGGAGCTTATTTCATATCTAAGTATTGTCCTGCTAAATGAAATCAGTTTTCATAATTTAGATATGAGTAAAACAATTTAAGTGGACTTCAAAATGTATATTCAGTTTTTAATTCTCAAATATTAATATCTGTGTTAAATCATTTGATACAAATATGCTTAAGATATGATTACTCCTTGGCAAAGATTAGAGATATTTTTATATTGTTTTTAAATATGCACATGGTTGCCTTTTTCATTTGTCTTGTAAACATCTTGTAACTCAAAGGAGTGATTTCTAGTTATAGGTGCTCCAATTACCTTACTCAACATGCCTGTGGTTAATAAATTAATCATACTAGAATGAACAGGTTTCAATGAAATATTAAGCACAGGGAGAAAGAATTATACTCTTTGTAGTTTTATTTTGATTTGACTAATAATTTTGTTCAATGATCCAGATGCAGGTACTCATTTTATATTAATGTGAAGATATATTATGTGTTGCTTTATATTCTTATGAAATTTAAATTTAAATCCACTTTAACAACTACAAACAAGCAAATGGAGAGAAGATTTAAAAACCTTGTTTTGAGAATTAATAAATACCATTTGAAAGAGTCAGACATCCCTCTGAACGAAATTTCCTATATCCTGTATTTTCCAAAGACCAATTCACTATAAACATAAACAAACCTACCCTGAGATGTTTCTACAAATACATTTTTAGGAGAAACAATATGAGGAGAATATAATGATAAAATTTTACAGAAAGCATCTAGTAAGTCAGTTTCTTCAATTTTAAAACTTTAAATAATTATATTTGTATCTTATTACTGACTTATATTGATGTATCGTGATTTAACTGAAAGAATCTCAATTTTTCTAGTTTACGTACATCACACAGCAATTGTAAATAACTACCCTGAAATGTATTCTTACCTGTTTTGAGAGATACTAAGCTCTTGTAGTAAAGGCAGCCAACATGAAGAAAGTACATCCACGTTTAAGATGCTGTTGTCATCCAAATGCAATTCTCTAAGCAGAACATGATTTTTTAAGGAAGGAGGCTACAATTAAATATATTTTGTTATTTGATAACAGGCCAACTATTTTGTAACCAAATTCAAAAGTATAGATTCTACCAAGGCTTAAAAACATACATCTTATAAGAAATAGATCATAACTCAAAGTATATTATTGAGTCTTTCAGGATGAATAAAAAGCCTACTAATTAACTATTATTTTTGATGGTCCTTATAAAAGAAGTTTCATGATAAAGTGCAATTAATATCAATAACAGATAAATGTGGTTCAGAAATAACGATATGCTATCTCAAACTCTATTTACAAGACACTAAGCATTTGGGGTTTTTCCTATGTGGATAAAAATATAAAATAATGAAAAGGAGACTATGAGCACAAGAATATTTAAGAGAGGATAGTGGAATGTGAGGATACAAGTATGAAAGGCAAGATGCTGTGGTTAGAAAGGTTTCAACCTGAGGAAGGACAGAAGAAAGGAAATGGGCTAGGGAACTGCATGGGAGTGAGCTCACGATCATATAAAGGAAAAGACATAGGAAAAAAAATAAGGAAATATAATAAAAAACAATGCATTTTTACTGATGGTACCCTATGTAGGTAGGCAAAGTTCCTCCCAGATACTAAATGTTATTAAATGAAAATGCTGAGAGCTCACCTCTACATGTTGTTGGCCTAAAACATATGGGCAATTGTGACTGTTTTTGATTGCTCACCAGAACTACCTGGTTAAGATCCTATTGATGAAGACTCCCCCTACCTTGGTTGCATGACATAAAGAAATCAAACTGAAATATGACTGAAACTTTCTTTGCTATCTAGCCTTGAGACTGTAGCAAAATACTATACAGGCTTCTTGGAGAAAACTGTCCTCAAATCCAATACTCAGTTATGCACCTATGTTCAACAATACTCACAAGACAAGTGGTATGAACCCGGTAGTTCAACATTGGCCAATCTGTTATTGGAGTAAACAACTGCTTTCTGATTGAAGTTGATGCTTTCTCTACACTACAACATTTCTGCCTGGTACAGTAAACCTGGTATAAACTCCATAGATGGGAAGCTCATAAGCTATAATGGGGAGGACAATACTGTTATTTTGTTCATTAAACATGGTATGCCTTTCAAAAATATCTCCTCAACAACTAAGCTAATTATTCTAATACTGCAGTTAGTTTTACCGTGGTGAATATAGGGATGCATCACTGATCAAAGTAAGAAGAATAAATTAGTGCCGAATGCCAAGCCATAAATGGGATTTCTATAGTTTCCTTTCTAATGATCACAGAACATTCCAAAGAGCAAAATAATGCTGGGACTGGAGGTAATGTGGTGGATGGAGCATTTGGAACACTGTCTTCAGGGCATAACATGGCTATTCCATTCTTGCTCTGATGGTATACAAAATCTCCCTCAAGGTTGTGCTTTGTCAACACCTAGTCATGGAATGGGGAATGTTCTATGGAGCCCTACCATTCTCTGAATATTTCTACACAGGTAATAGTAGGGTTTACATGCTCCTGAAAAAAAAAAACAATTCCCTAGCCATATTCCTGTTTTCAGTCCTCCTAAAACTCAATGAGTTTTTCTCTTTTCTCTCTTTCTCTCTTTCCCTCTCTCTCCCTCCCTTCCCCCCACATAGGTATGAAAGAAATGATGTAAAAGGGCACCAAGTTAAAAAGGGAAATAACTGGGAGTAGACAAGACAATGTAATGTGTTTTGAACATATGGTCAAAATACATTGTGCCATGTATGGAAATATCAGAACTAATCTCATTATTCTGTGTAATTAATATATCCTATCAAAAGCTCAAAAGTACAAACAAAGGTTACTTGGAAATAACATACAGCTGATTAATTAAAAAGGAAAGAATATTCAAATGTAAAATAAAGAAAAAATGTTCAAATAATAAGTTGCTTTAAAAAGTATGGTAGATACATCAATTTAAAGAAAGATATTGCATTAGTTACACACATCAGTTGTTTTAAATAACTTACCTCTCTTAGGTAATTTCCCTGCAACTTTACTATTTGGAGCAATCCACAATTTCCGATGCCATCAACATCAGTAAGATTATTATGTGAACAATCCAGGTATACAATGGTGGGTGCTTCACAAAGTCCTTTAGTGCTAATTAACTGATTATGGTCCACAGTTAGTTGCTGAAGGTATTTCAAAGATTCTAAACCACCTGGAAGATAAGTTTTCTAATGTTACACTTGTATTACATGTTCTCCCTGAGACAGAATGTCATGCAAACTGGTATTTGGAGATAATTCACATCTATATCTACACTTGCATTTTTTGTAATACATTGTTTCCCTGTAAACTCAGACTGGCCTGAAATTTGTGATATAGTTTTTGTTACCAATGATCTCTTGAAATTCCTACCATACCCTTCCAATTGCTAGGACTACAGACATGTAACATTATTCCTTGTCTTGGAAATGCAGTGTTTAGTTATGTCATTATTTATTAATTAAAAACTGAAAGAAATATTTAATGCATATTAAATATTTGGGAAATGAGAATGTTCAGACAAGGAAACAATTGCCAATTTCAATGAGAATTTTATTTGAAATCAGAGTAATAAATAACATTTTTTAAACTTTTTCAAGCATCATCCAAGATGAAATAAAAGAGTGAACCATGAAGTTGCAGGCATCAGCTTCTTTGCAGACAGCAGACAAAACAAAATAACAGATGGGAGAAGCAAAGAGAATTAGAATTGTGTGACATACAGTGAAGTGCTAATGGCATATGCCTTTAAACTGTAAAGGGTGTTTTTATTTATAATAAATTACACAGCATGGATAATGTCAGGCACAGTTAAAAGAAAAAAGTGAGAAGAGGCCATTGCTTTGGCAGCAATGAAACTCCACTGGGAAACTTGCATGACAGAGACACTGATGGTATTATCATCACATTCCAATTCAGTTTGAAACAAATTTGAGCACCGATTAATCTGGTGGCTTACACCTGAAGTCTACCTCCACAGGGACTAACGCCTACTTTGGACTCTACTGGTGCATGAGTGCACACACATTACACACATAACTAAAAATACATCTTTAAAGACAACTAGCTGATGTTCGGAGTCTATTTGGGGAAGACTACTGGAAGAAAGCGCCGATGAAAGAGGACATGTGGAGTAGACTGTTCCTGGTAGCCTTGTGAAGAAAAGAAAACAATGAACTGAACATCACAATCCAATCTAATTTGAACCTAGAAAAGACACTTTTGGTGCAGCACAAACTCTATGTGAGGCTTAATTCACCCACTATTAGGTGTGTCCTTCTTCATAGCACTGCTGCATGTATCTAGCAAAAAGCTACTAAGGAACACTAGAACATTATATAAATGACACCACTGTGCCCAGCTGGGACAAGGGAACACAAACCTAACAAACCAGCACCTTCAGATGCATGTGCAGGTAACATTATTATCAAGAAAAGGTGAAAATGATGTATCTACAAGAAGCACACTATCAATACAGAAAACTGAGAAGCATGAAGGGGAAGACAGTGTGATACCATCAAAGGAAAACAATAACTTCCTACCAATAGACTTCAAAGAAATTGACAAAATCCCCCAGAAAATTCAAAACAATGATTCTAAGAAAACTCAGTGTGAAAGGATGGTCTTGTACACAGAACATTCACTCACATTAGAAAATAATTCAGATATAAACGAGAAATTCTAAAAGAAAACTTATGAAATGTAGTGAAACTTTTGGACCAAAAATCATGTGATGGGTAAATAAATAAATAAATAAATAAATAAAGCAAAGGAAAAGGTTTGCTTGTTCTAAAAAACAATTTCCCAAAAGAAAGGATGCAATTAGTGAACATCTATGTGAAAAAGAAATTCTCAGTATCACTAGTCATTAGGGTAGTACACATCAAAATCACACGAAGGTAGCATTTTACCCAAGGTAAAATCACAGATAAATTTTAATTTTAAATTAAATATTTTTAAAATGTCAAAGAACTGATGAAGGTAAAGAGAAAAGATGCCCTTAGAGAGCATTGTTAGGAATACTAATTTGTACAACCATATGGAGAATAATACAGAAATCTCCCAAAAGACTAAATGTAGTACAATCACATGACTCAACTAATCCATGTGTACATGCAAAGAATTGTAACCAACACATGGAAGAAGTATCTGCTGTAAGACATATCTGTACTATTGTGTTCTTTCATAAAATGCTGGCTTTGTAAGCATTAGGGCCTGAGTTTAATTCCTATATTCCATATAAAGAATGTCAGTCATGGTGGTGTCCACTTACCATTCTAGCAATGAAGATGCAAAAACAGGAGGCTCCCTGAGGCTACCTGGGCAACCCAATGAAGGTAGTTGGTGTGTCCCTGGCCGATGAGCATTTCTTTATCAAAGCCCTATCAACCAACCAAGCAAACAACACTTGAAAGCACTCGGGTAGTGACACACATGTGTCCCTATGACCCACAGAGAGATAGAGATCATCATGATTTACTGTCTTATTAGCATCACATTCCATGGATAGGCAGTGTAGCTGAGAGACAAATAGTCTGAGTTTTGTCTCCTCTAAGGCTAGTTGTTGTTATTGCATGCAAGATGTTTTGCTTTACTGGCGCTTGCTTCTTTTATTTATAGAATGAGTATTATTTGTATTTTTAAGATTATTAAAAATAATATTTAAAGTATTCAGAAGAGAACTTCCAAAGAATAAGCACTGCATTCATAAAATATATACAATAAAACAAGAAACTAAATAACCATCAATCTGTAGGAACTGAATCTGTTATCTTCAGAAAGAGCATATCCTTCAGGAAAGGTATATTAATAAATACTCACAAATGGTTTATACAACTGATTAAACACTACCTTGATCCAGTGAATATACTCAGATAAAACAATGGATATGTATATGGGAAGGACGTTAATTTGTATGTTTCTTCTTGGTATCTTACAAAATTTTTATTAACAATGGATGGAACTGAAAACATACATGAAAGTTTCTTTAAATTGTTAATATAATGATCTAGATTGACTTCAGAAGATCCAGAAGAGCCTCGGTGAGATAGTGTTCAATCAAGTTGCCCTATGGAAACATGTGGAGACTGTTGGGATCATATTAATTTGTGTGAGGGGACCTGTCCATTGTGGGTAGCACAATTCCCCAGGAAGGGATGCTTGGAGTAAGTGTGGAGAAAGCAAGCTGAAGAGTAGCATTCAGTATTCAGAGATCTCTACTTCTTGGCTGTGGATATAATGAGCAGCAAATGCTTCAACTTCCTGCCGCCTTAACTAGCTTGCAATGGTGGAATGGTGAGCCAAATAAAGCTTTCCTCTTTTAATGTGGTTTTGTCATATTGTTGTTGTTTTTCACATAGACAGGAAAAGGAAATGGAGCTAAGACAATAGCTCAACACTCCAAAGAAAAGTATTCTTTCCCAGTCATTATAGCGGATAGTTCTTCCCTATTGAAAACAAAACAAACAGCCACAAAAATACTTGAAAACCCCTTTCAAAAGACTGAAACAATAAAAAACATACAGGGTTCCTAGAGTATTCGTAGCTATATGGCATAAAGAAATTCTTTAAAAGGTTCTATAAGACCCCCCAATCCTGGAACGTATGCTTCAACTTAAGTCAAGTGTGCCTATGGCCCCGAGGTAGAACTGATACATGTTCATACCTGTTTTAAATATCTAGGTCAAAGCATTCTCACAGAAATTAACCAGTGTCCAATAAAACATCCCTGTCACCTGAAATGAATGGCAAAGCTAAAGATGTGAAAGCAGCCAGGAAGCTTTCAACAAATGCAATGTTGAAGTCCAAGCTCTCTCAGCACGTGGACAGTGTTTACGTCGAAAACGTTTTCTTGAATACCTACACAGATGCTCAGCTGAGCTTAAACTTTGATTTCAGTGCAAAGTCCTCAAGGGTTATAAATGGTAGAGAAACAAGAACACTGAAGTAGGAGTCAAGAGACAACTATGAGTTCTCTCCACAATTTTGCCACGAGTTAGATGAAAACCTAGCAAACCCTGGCAATCCCTTTTTACAGTGCACTAAATCACTGCGTGCATTTCAAAAGGTGATGTAGTGCCATCTAGTGGACCCAACGGTTTATGGCTTAATACTGAGACCATTTCTACACGTGAAATGTCTAGAATTTACACTTATCCCTCAATAACTCAAACACATATTTTTTGAGAAAAGCTAATCTTGATGTATTTCTGTCACATCTTACACAATGACTATGAGTCTTAGGTTCAAAAGCTGTGTTGCAGATGCATGATGTAATTATATTGTAACCTCAGAAAATAAACCAACACGTAAAAATAACAGTGAATTCCAAGGCTGAAATCCTGTCTACATCATTTACTGGCAACGCAACTTCAACTGGCTTACTTTAGTATATGGGTTTCCTTAAGGATGTGGAGGAAGAGAAGATTCATCTGTAGCCCCTCATAGTATCTATGTAAGAAGTGAATTACACAGCTAAAGTATTTGGACACAGGCTATTTATTTCTGTTATATATTCTTTCTGTAAATGATATTTATAAAACTTTATTTTCATAAACATGGAGTTATTTTCAAAAAATATATATCTAGTGATTCTGTTTAAGTTACTAAAAACTCACATGAAAATGAAAGAAATAAAGAAAACTTGATTCTACACTTGATTATATATCTGAATATGTGTGTCAGTTGGGGGTCTTGGACAGTATATGGGGCCGCTGACAGTGGAACCAATATTTATCCCTAGTGCATGAACTGGCTTTTGGGAGCCCATTCCCTATAGAGGGATACTCTCTCAGCCTAGATACCCGGGAGAGGGCCTAGGTCCTGATCCAAATGAAGTGACAGACTTTGATGATCCCCTATGGGAGGCCTAATCCTCTCTGAGGAATAGATGGGGGTGGGGTGGGGAGATGGTGACAGAATGGGAGGATGGGAAGGAAAGGGAACTGGGATTGGTATGTAAAATAAGATTGTTTTTTATTTAAATAAAAAAAATTAAAAAATAAAATACCTCTTTTTCACTGGCATTGCCTATTTTTAAAAGAAAACCATTTCAAGTAAACATTAACTCTTAAGACTCTTTGTAAGCCAGTTTTAGAAACTTTAACCATCGGCGTCAAACTTCCATTCCAGAATTGTTTCTCCATCTCACAAATTGAAAACAAATGTTTTCCC